CTGGTTAACGCTGTTTAAGGGAATAATCGCTGTTTATTCTGATAATTAATTAACCCTTCGAAGCCGAAACTCGTCTAAATATTATATAATAATACAGTCCGTACCGCGAAGTAAACACAACGTTTCACCATTACAAAAGTCAGCTGGTTAACGCTGTTTAAGGGAATAATCGCTGTTTATTCTGATAATTAATTAACCCTTCGAAGCCGAAACTCGTCTAAATATTATTTAATAATACAGTCCGTACCGCGAAGTAAACACAACGCTTCACCATTAGAAAAGTCAGCTGGTTAACGCTGTTTAAGGGAATAATCGTTGTTTACAGTGAGAATCATAAAAAATTCTTGCACTGTGGGCAGAATTAATTTAAGTCACTGAAAAGTTACTCACCAATGGCTCTATCCCTTCTCTTAGCAGAGCATTTATAAGTTTGTTATAATATTCGATGCCGGCCTTGTTTATATGGTTGATATGCCCGTTTGGAAGAAGTCTTGACCACGAGAAAGAGAATCTGTAAAAGTCAACCTGTAAAAAAGTGTTTAAATGCAGATTGTGTCGTACTATAATTAATCACACACAACAGAGGATTTGCGTATTAGAGAACTTTTGAAGTATAAAGTATATTTTGTTGATAATGAAAGATTTATTCTGATTTTAAACATCTCCAACTATAGATTTAGAAACATTTATTAACGTCAATATCAGTGACCCATTAATTATATTTTTGTTATGCTAAGAGCATTACAGAACTGTTAACAGTAAAATTCGTAAATAAATTGACGTTTTTAAGATTCGAATGGATTTTGTAAACAGTTTCTCCACCTGAAAATAATATGCTTACTGCTGTAGATTTAAGTTAAATGTGCTTAGTTAATTAAATATTCCAGATTTGTTACAACCTCTGCTTACCCCGAGGTCTTTCAACAGAGTTACGTCTTTCTCGTAGAGATGATAGGAATCACAAGCAACATCACCAGTTGATCCATCTGCGATCAAATATGATTCGTTGTGCGTTTGGTAGTCCCAGATGTTAATTCCCTTACCTACGGCAAATTAGATGCTGTTAGATTCTTTGAAATAATCCGATGTAGGTCATTCATTTGTGCAAGTTAAATGTTCGTGGTAAAACTTGGGTGCATAATGTCATTCATCCTGGGCTTACATTTAGTTAGGTCCTACGTTTCTTAGAAGAACAAGAATTTTAATATTAACAAGTAGGATTTCACGTTTTCGCGGCGGTGAGTCTGAAGATGGCTGTCTTATGTATCAGCTCGTAGTGTGATAGAAGTTTAACAGCGTTCCAGATATTATCATCGCCCTGATGATGGAAGCAGCAGTGACCTCTGATATGTTGGTAAACTTCTATCACACTACGCGCTGATTCAACCCATAAGACAGCCGTTATTTTAAATATTAACTGTTTTAATTTAATGTTTTACATAGTTACGTATGTCCGTACATAATTAACTGCTCGTATTAGAACCACGGTCTTAAACACCGTTAGTAAACGTCTTCATTGGAATTGTTACTCTGCTAATTTAGTGCAGTCGAAATTGGAAGCCACGCCCTTGAATTAAATGTTTATTATCTAACACCAGGTTTTTATGGTAAATACTAGACCTCTGAAGTGGCAAGATAGCCTATTTGTCGAAGGGTACTGGGTTTAATCCCAGACTACGTCATTAAGAATTATTATTATTATTTAGTATTATTTATTTTATTAAAATTATTAAATTTAATTTTATTACTTAGTTATCGTAAATAGCCCATTTACTTGTGAAATATTATACAATAAATGAATTGAATTATTATTATTATTATTATTAATATGGTACATTTATATATTTAGTTTCATTTGTTTGTTTTACTTTTATTATTATTGAAATAAATTAATTACTTATTATATTTTATCCTGTACTCTGGTTTATTGCTTGGCTGTTGTCAAACACTTTAATAAATGAATTGAATTGAATTAAAGTGATGAGAAGTCTGTCGATGTAACCAGAACCAATCACCTTAAGATGTAAGTAGAGCGTACCCCCGAAACGTCTTATCGTATACATTTCAGACAATATGGGATCCCTGTTATGAATAAAGTATTGTCACAAAACATTTGGAGAATGAAGAAATATATTAATTGTCGTGAACAGTTTAATATTTTGTGACATGTTGGCTAAGTGCAAGTGTGGAAATCAGAGACTCCAAGATCAGTTTCTAATGACTAATTACCGTCTTCGTTCCACGCCCCCTCCACTTGATAGGAAGCCGTCGCCACTCCAAATTTGAATCCTTCTGGAAAGTGGTATATGGCGGGATTCCTTTGGATCTCAGCTCCCGCAAAGGCGAGGATAAAGATCCCTAGAACCTTCATCTTAAGAGAGATTCGGTCGAAATCGCGATGGGACGGCGAAGTGTCCAGCTTATATAGTGCCGTCAGAAACGAGAGATTAAAGTTCTTGAGGTGTGATTCGTGGATTGGCTCTGCTTGGCGACAATACTGACACCCTCTCTTCGCTTCAAAGACACGTTTCGGCGCACAGATTAAGTGCATGATACGCGTTTTCTTTGCATAATTATAAAGCTCTTCGTGTCATTGGCATACATTCTCACGACATTGTAAAATAAAGATCTCTGTCTTCTTGGTTGTTTACCTTAAAGTTCCTACCATACTACACAGCGCAACAACCCAGAAGACAGAAATCTTCACACTCAACGCTGTGAAAACCTCAAATCCTAAATTGTAAAATAGTTGTCATCCACTTTTAAATACGTCGTTCTTAGCATGACAGTGGCATGTTTGCTCGCAAAACTAATATTTATTTCGGTCAGTCTGTGTAGAATGAATTTTGGTTTCCTGCAATAAACTTCTGGGTTTTGTCGGGCCCTTTTGGTTCGGACCCGCACCAGAATTTAAGTCGTGATTAATTAAATAATTCATGGAGCAGAGTCCCACTTGAGAAACTGATAGTAGCTCAGATGATCAATAAATTACCCGCATTTTATGGGTCACGAGGCCTCGCTTTACAGTTAACTTTATCTCAAGTATTTCCACAGATTACTGAGGACAATTTGGGCAACGAGAAGTTTCCTAAATTTTGTTGTTCGCTAAATATCATCAGGGGTATGCTATGGGCGGGGCATTTAACACGTATGGGAGATGGAACACTGAACACAAGATTATATATGGGAGATCTAGGCGCGGATGAGAGGATATTATTAAAATGGATTTTAATAGTAATGGTTGGAAGAATGTAGAAACCAGTGTCATAATTTTATGAATACGGTAATGAACTTTCGTTTCTCAGAGTCGGTGAATTGTTTGTTGGCCAGCAGAATGATTGTTAATTTCTGTCTGCTCCTAGAAGTTGCTTTCGTGAGTTTTCGATTAAAATGTATGTTATCTTGATTTATATCAACGCTAATATTCATTGTACACAATTACATTTATATTCTTACGTAAAACTGTGATAGGTGAATATTCAGATATTTTCTGCACGTCAAATGCTTAACTGCTAATCTGTATTTCAAAATAAACAGTAGGCATAAGAGATAAGTGGAACATAAGGTTAAATGGAGTGTCTATGTGTTATCTAATTTGTGTTGATAATCTGGCGCCTGTTTCTCAAAACCTGTTGATCAACACACACTTCACGCGGTTGGCCGCAATCAAGGCATTGGTACAAACATCATCTGAAGTTTGTTACAGGGCCGTGTGTCAATGATCAGATTACTAATTGCATTGGTGAACTCAACTGAGTAGTTGCATATCACCTGTTTGCAACTCTGCTGGTGCAAGCTTGCCCTAAATAATCTATGCCACTACACTTCTAAATTTAATAAACAATGTGAAGTTTAAGATCTTTATCTCCAATCTGAGTTTTTATTCCCCTAAGTGAAATATGTTAAATAGTTCTTAAGAGTTATGCGTAATCACGCTTAAAGTGTAATAATGAAGAATATGTTAAATTCTTTAAATATTCGAGGGATGAAGGGATTTTTGTTTGCCGCAAGTACCTCTGAAACGTCGGTAAACTTCTACCGGACTACACTACCCGCCACTACAACCCAGAAGACGGCCATCTTCGGGCACACCGCCGTGAAAACACTAAATCCTATAATTTCTTTTGTATATGCCTCAAAACGTAACGATATTGTATATTATGACAATTTAAACTAATATTAATCTGTATATTGGATTGCCCAAAAATTATACACCAGCTTTATTTACGGAAAAAAATTTGTATTGTCTTGCTGAATTGTAGTTTATGTTGCATAGCATAATTACAAGCGGGAAATAATACCATTTGCGCTCAATTCCAAGTACTAAATAAAGTAAAAATAAACCTGTCCCACTACGCGCCATGTAGGCGCTTGGGGGGAGAGGAGGTATAGCTCCTACTCATTCTTGACCTCTGCACTAGATGGGGGTGAGTGGTCATCATCACGCCCCGGCCGGCTTTACCCCCGGGAAGATACCCATTGGAGAGGAGGCTGGGTGGGCCCCAGAGCCGGTCTGGACGCAGAGGCCAGAGGAAAAATCCTCTGCCCCCGTCGGGGATCGAACGTAAACATCTTAAGTAAACAAACAATAATAAAAGAGCGTACGTTAAGATAAAATTGTAGTGTTACTCTTGATCGATCTTGTATCTATTTAACGTGGATTATATTATTATCATAAAATCTGATTATACTTTGGTATGTTTCACGTATTTGATAATTCTCTTGTGTTATTTCACTTCGAAACAAATAATCAGAAGTTTTTAATCTTTAAGAGCACACACTTCGCGATATCAACGTGTGTCAAAAGGTTTTCCCGCGCGATACACATTACAGCGTTTTTTAAAATATTTATCGCGAGGTAAAGATAAACTGACATGTTTACTGCCGTGTTTAATTTAAGGTGAATATATAAAAATTATTTAATGATACGTGAATCAGAGCATTACACAAAGCGTTCAGTGCTGTGAGCAATTAACTCTTTCTTATCTTGATGAGGTTTGTGATTTCGATATTTAGGCCAACATATTCTGAATCCATGTGATTTTCTTATCAGCTGAGTAAGGTACAGGGCGTTGGATAAGCATAGGACTGCAAGCGAGCTAGAAGGGTGATGCAGAAATGATCAGTTAATGGTCGTGGCCACTTTATCTCTCCCCCAATTTAAAACACGTGAGGATTTTCCGTGTCCACGCGGCTTCATATTATTCTAATACTGTGTGTGTACAAGATTTCGTAATTAAGTAACACAACTGATCGTGTAAAAAAATATTATTAATAATATTCATAGACAGTGCATACAAACGTTTTTCATAAAGAAGTTAAGAGAAGAGGCAACTGGTAATATCTAAACGTAGGTGTGAAGATAGTATCAAGGATTGGATGCATCTGGCTCAAGATATGACCCAGTTTCGGGCTCTTATGAACACAGTAACGAACTTTCAAGTGTCAAGAAATGCAGAAAACGTGCTGACTACCTGAACAACCACCAGCTTTTGTCGAAGTAGTCTCTAGTAACATGATTTATTAATTTCATTCAGATCACATTTTAAGGCATTTGCTAATTAGCTTCTGTGGCCTCTTATACGATCCACAAATTCCTCTAGAACTATGAATCCTTGGATGCAGAATCATCCAGACACAAGGCCTCTGCCTAGACGGCACATCCATGTATCGAGTGAGACTGGGACCGAAGACACAGTTTTCGAGAAGGCCAGGACCCGTGTCTTAGATCGTGAACCCACTATGACCGGCACAGTTACGACTCTTAATTCTGCTGGACATCCTGGAGGTACCGGGCTGGAATCTGTCGTGTTTCGATGATCTCGGCGAACACTCGTGAGGACTCCTTAGCAGTGCGGGCTCGTCCTGGGTCGGTAAAATTTACGTGAAAGAGTCCGAACTTCTCACTAGAAACATAAGAAATACATCAGCAGTTGCTTTAACCTTTTAAAGCCTAGTTTTAACTTCATGTAGAACTGGATCCACCGATCATGGCCGCTGACCTTGTAGGGAGTGCCCCCGTATGCGGACGACTCAATAAAGGAAGGAAGGAAAGAGTTTCCGTCGGTCAGTAGAGTCTGTGTCAGTGCAACAGTGTAGAAGCCTGATAATTGTTGTCTTGTGACTGTGCTGTGTTGACAACATACCACATGTTAGTTGCAATCTCCTTTCTGATCATTGATAACGCCTCGTATCACAGCACTCGGACAGACAAACCAACGACGTCTTAATCAAAGAAGGACGAAATGAAAGGAAATAAACATCCTATGTTGTGACGTCGTCTTGGAAGCTCAACTGTACGATTTAATCAAATTAAATAAGACAAGGCACAAATATTATGTGATTGATCAGATTATAGCAGACAAAGAACGTACTATGCTGATATTTCTCAGATGTAAATTTGGCGTATTTTGAAGCCGTCGCTTTGGTGGGCGTCGCGACGCCGGGCGTCGATTTCTTAAAGTAGCTCCCAATGTTATCCAAACCGTTTAAGTCGCTCTCCCGAGGTTCTGTAATGACGCGGAGAATGGCGTCGGTTTTGCACTTTCGTTTGGGGTCTTTGGAATTATCTGCGGTAAATTTGGCGTATTTCGAAGACGTCGCCTTGTGTCAGCATCGCAACGCTAGCGTCTACTCACTATCATTCTGCCTAGTATTATTGGATGCAAGCCAAGTATTGCGGTGGTTTAAGGATGCGCTAAGGTTAACGCCCGGCGTCGATTTCACAAATTCGCTATCAATGTTATCCCAACTGTTTGAGACGCACACGTGTGATACGATGATGGCGTCGCGGCTAATAGCGTCGCGACGCTCGGCGTCGGTTTTCTAGTTCAATATCTGCGGTAAGTTTGGCGTATTTCGAAGGCAACGCCATGATCAGCGTCGCAACGTTAAGGTAGGTTCGGTTCGTTTGGGCTAGGTTAAGTTAGGTTTGGTTAGGTTACCTTGGGTTGGGTTAGGTTAGGTTTGGTTGTGT